GCCTCTTCCGGGTTCCCTTGGTAGGCTGGCTCAGATTCTCAAGAACCCATGAGAGTTGGGTGCTGAGTGGGTAGAAGGATAGCAAAATCTGTTGGGCTCCAAATAGAGAAACAGAGTGGGTGGGACTTAATAGCTCAGAAGAGTGATAAAGCCTTTGCTAGAATACTAGGGTGCTACCTAATGACTCCCCATGTGCTAGCATAGAGAACTGAGAGCCCAGAGCTGACAGGATACATAAAAAGTTACCACAAAGAAAGTCTCAGAAGATGGGATGAAAGTTCAAGAACAGATGGACTTCTAGATTCTCAAATAGAGAAGGATTCCCTACAGTCCCTCTTCCTCACATAAGACAAGCTACCTTATATCCTCCACGCACTGGATGTTCCCCTCATGGTGAGATCTTCTGAGGCCTTGGCCAAGAACACAAGGGAGAAACAGAGCAATGAGCTGCCCTGGACAAGAGTATCCTGCAGCAGCTTCCAGGGGGTCACCGCAGCTGGGAACACCCCCTCCTCCAAAGTGCGGGCTTCCTTCTCTTCCTGCATTCCCCTCTGTATCTAAGGGCCTACTATAATCCATTACAATTTTGCTAGCCCATACATTTATGGATGTTGGTAACAGAGAGTAGGAACCAAGGTTCTTGAGCTCTGAGTCTGGTGGCTTCCCTGCAGTATGCCACTTACTCCTTTTGAAAGTTTTTTCTTCAGGAAAAATTAGAAGACAGAAACTACTTCACAGCAGAGCTTAGAAAAACATATCCTGATTGTATCAAAACCTAGTCGACATAAAATTATATTCTTTAATGGTATACTACCCCTGCAGCGATATTTTCTGAGTTAGGGTTAAAACTGACCCTACTCTCAAAGAGTATAATCTGATGAAAGGATGAAAACAGAAGAGTGCACAGAAAATGTGTCTAAAACACAGTCTACATTAATAGCATAAGCAGAACAGACAAAGTGAGTTTACCATTTCATGAGGAAGGGTTATTAAGAGAATTTAGGTTTACCCTATACTCTTTGGAGCAAATCTGTGTAGTTTTTAGGTAGGAGAAAATGAGAGACAGAATAAACGGAGAGAGGAAAATACTCCTGGTGACAATGTCAGGAATGAGACCAGGAGGAGCGGCACAGCCTTTCCCATTCCCTACTCCTCTCGCCAGCTTTGTACAGAGTACACAAGGGGCCCCTGCTTATCTCCCAGCAGATGTAGGCTAAGGAGGAGGTAAGGGCTTGGGAAAATGGGAGGTCTAAGTGAAAAGGAAGGAAAGAAAAGGGAGTCCAAATGTACTGCTGAATAAAAACAAGAAGCAGTAGGGCTGAGTATCAAGATGCGAGCATCTCTCCTTCTCCCAGTGCTCACCGTAGGTGTGCTGCACCAGGCCTGTGGAAGGATTTTGGTCTGAACAGGCTAGATTCTTTCCAGTTCAGAGCACAGGAGCACAGATCTCACTCTTTGCCACCTTACACCATAGGAATTCCCTCCTCAAGAGTCAGGGTAAGATGAGACTAGAAGCTTTCTTCCTGCCTTCTCAATAACTTTGCTGTCCCTTGGAAATACTACTTGATCTGGGAGACTGGCTGCCTGGTGACAAGAGAATAGAATGACCCTGATGGGATCTTTTAGGACCCAGCCTGAGCTTTGCTTTTAAGGGTTACTGGGGAAGACCCATTGAGGCAGGAGAAAAGGAGGTGCTACCCAGCTAGAGTGGAAAGGGATGAGGCTTTCTCTCCAAGCAAAGAGCATTCCTGTCCTAGCTAACTATGGGGGACCAGCAGCAAGGCCAAGTAGGCCTTGCAACCTAGGTGGCGCTATTTCTCTACTTTTTAGGTCAAGTTCCTGCAGGAACTTCCTCGAGGTCCCAAGTCCTGCTCCTGGTTTGCTGGCTTGCTCGTGTAAACCACCTTATATTATTTTTTTTTCTAAAAATACTCCAAAGCAATTGAAAGAGTCCCTTCTCCCACCAGCCAGCCCTGGCCTCAGCCCCAGCCCCGGGGAGCGGGCGGGTAGGCGGGGAGGTGGGCCACTGCTTTATTAAACACAGGGAAAACTAATATTTACGGAATAAAATTTATGGAGCAGCCACGAGAATTCGACCCTTTTATGTGCATGTGGAGTGGGGGTTGGGCCAGGCTGGGGGCCTCAGGGAGGGGCCCAAGCCAGGGGGCAGGGCTGGAATACAGCCTGGCTAGGCCAATTTGTCAAAGCAGGGATTTCCCTGGAGTTGCCTTAGGATGAATGATTCTCAACCACCACACCTAGCTTTGGGGGGTAAGGGCTTCAGGGCAAGAATGCTTCAGGCCTCTGGTAGCAATGTTTCTCTACGGACGCATTTAAGCAATACCCCCATGGAGACAGCAGCCTTTGGGGATGATGGGGGCAGTAGATGGAAGGTTACTAGCTATACTCTTACTTAACCTTTTTAGAGTCACACATTCTTTTTGAGAACATGAACAAAATTATGCTCTTAAGATTTTACCTACAATTTTGAAGGATTCACAAGCCCCCAGCCCCGCTGTGATGAAAAATGCCTTGAGTCTATGCTCTTAGAATACAAGGAATGTCTAGGGTGAAGAACCCATATTTTCTCCAAGCTTGCTGGGGAAGGCTTTCCATTTTTGATGTGCCTTGTAGATACTAAAAGCTGGCTGTCTAAATTATGCTGAAAAGAAATGAAATATCGGCCGGGCGCAGTGGCTCATGCCTGTAATCCCAGCACTTTGCGAGGCCAAGGCAGGTAGATCACCTAAGGTCACAAGTTCAAGACCAGCCTGATCAACATGGTGAAAACCCATCTCTACTAAAAATGCAAAAATTAGCTGGGCGTGGTGGCAGGCGCCTCTAATTCCATGTACGTGGGAGGCTAAGGCAGGAGAATCCCTTGTGAGCCAAAATCGGGCCACTGCACTCCAGCCTGGGCAACAAGAGCAAGACTCTGTCTTAAAAAAAAAGCAAAGTAAGCCAGCTGCAGCTGTTCCCAATTCACTTTGATGACAGTCACTACCACATGCACACTCTAGGTCCTGTGGTCTGGAGGTAAAGGAAAGTTATCAGCAGTGATTGGGAATGAGCCTTGGTGGAGCTCTCTGACTCTGCTAGCAGGAAAGCGCATGAGGGTAAGTCCTGGAGTCCTCAAGAGCTACCTCCTTGAAGAGCCCATGGGGGCAGAGCATCCTACTGAAATGAGGAAGTTCATGGGATAAGGACATGACTGGAAAGAAGGACCTAACATCCTTTCTGGGAAATAAATGTTTTCATTAATATATATAATAATGCGGCCGGGCGCGGTGGCTCAAGCCTGTAATCCCAGCACTTTGGGAGGCCGAGGCGGGTGGATCACGAGGTCAAGAGATCGAGACCATCCTGGTCAACATGGTGAAACCCCGTCTCTACTAAAAATACAAAAACATTAGCTGGGCATGGTGGTGTGTGCCTGTAATCCCAGCTACTCAGGAGGCTAAGGCAGGAGAATTGCCTGAACCCAGGAGGCGGAGGTTGCGGTGAGCCGAGATCGCGCCATTGCACTCCAGCCTGGGTAACAAGAGCGAAACTCTGTCTCAAAAAAAAAAAAAAAAAAAAAAAAAAAAAAATATATATATATAAATATAAAATAATGTTGTTAAGAACTCAGCTATCGGGCTCAAATTCTGGCTGTCACTTATTAGCTGTGTGACCTTTGATAAGTCACTTCCTTCAAGACCCAATTTCCTAGGGTGTTAACAGCCTCTTCCTCATATGATGCTGAGGATCATGTCAGGTGCTCATTAGAATACCTGGTATACATTAGCTGTTCAATAAATGTTAGCTATTTATTATTGTTGCTCTTATAATTATTTTATTATTGTTTGATCATCTTCTCTCCAGACTTGACATCAGGACAGAACCAGTATATATATATATATATACACACACACACACACACACACACATATATTGGGTATATGAATAAGGAGGCATTTAACCATCAAAAGTAAATAAACCAGAAATGGGACAGGTGCAGTGGCTCATGCCTGTAATCCCAGCACTTTGGGAGGCCAAGGTGGGCAGACTGTTTGAGCCCAGGAATTCAAGACCAGCCTGGGAAACATGGCGAAGCCTCAGCTCTACAAAAAAAATACAAAAATTAGCTAAGTGTGGTGATGTGCGCCTGTAGTCCCAGCTACTGAAGAGGTTGAGGTGGGAGGATTGATTGAGCCCGAGAGGCCAAGGCTGCGGTGAATTGTGATGGTGCTACTGTGAGGGTGGCTGAATGAGACACTGTCTCAAAATAAAAAATAAAAAATAACAGAAATGGCCTCTGCACTGTGCTCCTGAGTCCTTCCTCTACCCAACGATTTCCCATGAACCTCTGGGTTCTACTTTCATTCCTGCCTCTCCAAGGCAAAGTTTCAGGCGATCTTACCTATAGAGGAAAACCTGGCAGAGGTCAAAGGACTCTGCCAATCCTGAGACGCCAAAGGGTTGTCTTTCTGTCTAAGATCCTGCCTATCTCATGCAGCCTTTACATGTTTTCCTGCTAGTTTCTATTAGCTGTAGAGGCCAATTCTGTTGTCGCAAAGAACTGCTGTGGTCATTTCCTGTTCCCATCATACTCTCCTATCTTTTCTAACTAAGTTACTTGAAGTGAGGTAGAGAACAAGAAAGTCATATTCTTTTTTTCTCTCACCCCAGGGGGAATTTACCTAGGCCCTAATGCTCGAAGCACTATGCAATTTCAATCCCACATGGTAGTTTAACCTGCTACCTATGCTTTGGAAAGAAAGAGAAAAATGCATCCAAGTCTGGCAAAGGAAAGCAGCAACCATCTCTCTGTCTTGTGCCCGCCATGAAGAAAGTTCTTGAGATCAAAGTTTCTGATGGAGGCTTAGCTCCGGCCACTGCAGAGAAGTTTAAGAAGAATCTGAAGGACTGGACTGAGGCCCAGATTTCATCCAGAGACAACAATGGGGTGGGGACTCAGTGAAATCAGTTGGGTTATGAGTTCCACAGCATAAGTAATTCCAAAAGCAGGGGAGTGTGAATGCTTTTTATTCCATACAAAAGAGAGAAGTGGGTCTCTGAGGAGCATCTACGGCTGGCTGACTAGAGACTCTAGGGAAAGGTAGACAAGGCTTCCTGAGTATGTTATGCTTTCTTTCTGACTTGCACTATACACCTAAAGTCCATGGTAGAAACCTGAATCTACAGAACCTCCACCAAAAGAGAGGCAAGCACGGGATTCTGAGACTGGCTTCCACTTGAATGGCAAAGGCCAATTCCCAGTTCTCTCGCCCTTACAGTAGGCCCCTGACTGTATCACTGTTGTAGAGGTATTGCTGCCATGCAAGCTCCTTTCAAGGTGAAGCTTGGAAGCTATTCTCCAAGTCCATCCTTAGCAGCTGGGCCACAACAGGTTAACTGAAGAGCCCCCTTGGTTTCTTCCTCTTGACCTTTGACAGCGGAGGTCTCTGCAGAGGGCCTGAAGTACCCTAGGAAAAAGGGAACCCAAGTTAGTAGGGGTTTTGAAATAGTTCCACTGAAATTAGGAAAGGAACTTTCTTCCTCTGATGGCTCCTGGTTAGGATGAGGCCTTCTTTTTTTTTTTTTCCACCCAGGCTGGAGTACACTGGCACAATCAGAGCTCATTGCAGCCTTGAACTCCTGGGCTCAAGCAATCTGCTTGCCTCAGCCTCCCAAGTAGCTGAGACCACAGGCACACGCCACCATGCCTGGCTAATTTTGTGTTTTTTGTAGAGATAGGGGTTCACTTTGTTGCCCAGGCTGTTCAACTCCTGGCTTCAAGTGATCCTCCTGCCTTGGCCTCCCAATGGCTGTACTAACAAGCATGAGCCACCATGCCCAGCCAGAAGGAAGAGGCATTCAGGAAGTGTCTGACATAGGTATTTTGAAGTCTATGTCAGGCAGTAAATGTGAGGTAAGACCCTAAGCAGGAGATGTGGATGTCCCTTCTCCCCCAAGGAATAGCCTTGCTGACTATCACTGGCCATCACTGGAAGTGGGATAAGGTGAAAGAGGAGTCGGGACACATCATTGAGTACAAGAACTACAAAGAAGGGACAGCAAGGGAAGGTGTGCAAGATCTTCTCTTGCCATCCATCTAGACACCTACAATCAGACACGACATGTCCAACTAGATACCTACTATTTGGAAGCCTAGTCACAAACATCCCTCAATATTGTTGAGGCAGTGCCAACGAAGTGACAATTGCAGGGACCACTGGCTCGGGGGCTATCAGTGCCAACTCTCAGAACACCAAGCAGGAAGCTGCTCTGACTCACCGAGGACTCTTTCTCAGGCGCTGAGAGGGTTGGGGCTGAAGAGACCAGTTCTTCTGGCTGATTTTGACACTGGCTGTCAAATCCTTCCAGGGAAGTACTCTTTGAGGTCTGAGGATCTCCTGAAATCAGAAAGATCAAAAGAAGATAGTGATAAATGCCTTCTTCTTACCAGGAAGAAATCAGCATTTACCAAGCATTCTGATAAAGGCCAGGGTTTGGTTCAAATATATAAGCAAACAGAAGTAGCCACAAGTCCAACTTCCAGCTGACTTTCGGAAAGCCCTGTTTCTGCCCTGAAGATTTCCCCAGGCCCATTTTCAGCAGGTAGGATAAGTGTTTCCTCAACTCAGAATAGCCAGCTGTTCTTCTACACATTCCCTGACATGTCTCAGGTAGGGAGGGAGCTTAATCTTTTTTTTTTTTTTTTTTTAAGAGATGGGTTTTTGCTATGTTGTCCAGGCTGGTCTCAGGCCTCTGTCACCTCAGCCTCCCAAAGTGTGGGGGTTACCGGTGTGAGCCACTGCACCCAGCCAGGGAAATTAATGATTCTCTTGGTGCTTTTGCTAACCCTTCTAAGCACCTAGACCAATGCCATCCAATCGAACTTTCTGCAATGATGGAAATGTTCTGTGTTTGCATTAACTTGATAGCCACTAGCCATATGCAGCTACTAATCACTTGAAATGTGACTAGTGCAAAAGAGAAGATACATTTTTAGGTTTATTTCATTTTTATTAATTTAAACTTAAATAGCTACATGTGGCTAGGAAACTATCATATTAGATAGCATCAACCTAGATCTTAATTGTATCCTCAGACAGACCAGGTACCTCTGGAGTGCTCACTAGCTCCCTGATGCTTCTGTCCCACTTGGACCTCTCGTTTGGCGACTGCCATGTACAGACTCTGAAGATTCATGACAAAGGGCCTTCCATCACCAATGCTGCATGCCTCTGGCAGTTTCTGTAAAAGAGGGGAGATACTGTCATTGGTTATACTGTATTACCAGAAAAGAGATCTAATACCGCATTTGCAGAACCAGCATCAACCCCAAATGAATTCATCTAAAGCAGTTAGCTCCAACAGGAGGCGTCCATATCCAAGCCTGGTGGGACCAATATAAAGATTTCTTGGGACACCTCCTCTGAAGGGCAACTCAAAATGTATATCTTATTTCCCCTAATCTTTAGGTCTATTATGTTTTCCCTTGAATACCCTATAGATTTCTAGGCTCTTTTTCCAAAGGGATGATTTCTTAGAGGGCTATTTTAGGAAATCATTTCCCCTAAATTTTCCCTGAGCTGTACAAATTACTATTTTCATTAAATTCATTCCTAAACTAGAGAAAAATGATAAAATTCAGGATAAAGGAGAGGGAGCAAAATGGTGATTAATGACAGACTGAGAGACAAGAAAAATTATGGAGCTGTGATATTCAGGCAGAGGAGACAGGAAAAATAAAGTCAACAAGGTTTTTAAGGTCTCCCTGCCATTTTCCATTCCCACTGCTGTCCCGCCATCCTTTACTATCACCCACATGCTCACAGTAAGCTGAGATTCCCCCAAGGGGGTGAAAGCTGTTCTTGAGGGGTAAAAAAACTTACTCTTTTAAAGTATGAAGTGTGCATGCGTGCACACACACACACAAACACACACACACACACACACACACACACACATACACACACACAGAGAACATAAATAGATTTTTGGTATATCTGTGGCATTAAAATTTCCAGAGAGGGACTGATTAGGAAAAAATGTCTTAAAAGATTCCTTAGGGAAGTGATAATTTTTAAGACTGAGAAACACTGCTATGATTACATTATATTTATCTGTTTCTTTCCCTACAGAACGAACTGTGGACTTATAACCACAGCAAAGTGCTTTGCATAGTTGTAGTTTCATACACTTGGCTGAACTGGATTGAGGTCATGGCTGAAGCCTGAACAAAATGCAACAAAAATGAGATGAAAAGAGTAGGGTATCTAGTGGTCCCAAATCTGGCTGCACTTCGGAATCTTAGAAAAGGCCCAGAACTATTTCACCTGTCCCTAGGCGTGAAAATCACCATGGTTCCCAGCCAACTTAGCAGGTCCCCAGGGGCAACCACGCCAGCAGCTCACATGGGAACCAACCCAAGAATCCTGGATTGGCCCATATCTTGGGTCAAGGGCACCTTTTTGTGCTATAAGGGCATTCATTTCTGAAAGCCCCTATGGAAGAAGAATAGAAAAGAGAAAGTGTGAGAAGCAGGAAAGCAGGTGCTAAACCAGTCAGGATTAGGCAGTTAAGGAAAGAGGCAGTAGCTGAAAACCTTGTTGATTACCAGGAAATGTCACATACATTTCTACTCTAACCCTATCCCCATAAAGACTATATCAGGCCTGGACTTTCACTGGAAACCACAGGCAATGAATCAGAACCCCAAGTCCAAACTTTGCCTCTAGCCAGTAATCACACTAGGAGTCTGACAGCCCTCTGGCAGCATTCCCTGAGGAATGAACTGAAACAGGGAAGGTAAACTATCAAGCCACACCACCTCTACTCTACCTCACTCTCCTTCCTAAGGTCAGCTCTCCAACTCCCAAGACACCTCCTTCAAAAGAGTGTTCTCTCCTCCACAGCCAGAGAGTCCTGGTGGTGGGGAGGCAAATGGCTGCCCTCCTTCCTTATGTCTTGACCTCTAGCATCTCCCTTCATACTACCCAAGAAATGTAGCCTCTCTTAGGGTCACTCACACATGATTTGGTAGGCACTGTGCTGTCCACACAAATGGGTTAGGCAGAGTGAGGCAGTCCAGAGTCATTTCCCCTGCCCTTCCATGGAATTAAACAGACTCATCAATTTTCCAGGGCGATCTTTACTCAGTTCAAGTATTTAACCTCAAGACAAAGTGCCAAAAATGCTGGACCTGAGTCTAAATGTGAAACCTAATCTAAGCCCTTCCTCTGTCCTTCCCCTTCTCAGAGAGAACTGGTCCTGCAGTTGCTGGCAGCTATTCCACCTGACTATCTATTCTCAGAAAAGTTCTAGGAACAGCATATTGCTACAGTTGTCAAGTACTTAACATGTGCCAGGCATTGCTCTAGTACTTAAAATGTATTAAACCATTTTTGTGTTTTCTACTACCATTTCCCTGGCATCTAGAAGAACCCTGAGCTCATGGTAGAGGCTCAATAACTATTTGTGAATGAACAGGCATGGTAGGCACTAACATGGCCCCATTTGGCTGAGGTAGTCCCAGCTAGTAAGTGGTGGCACAGGATTAGAATCCAGGCAGTCTGGCTTCAGGGTCTACAAATAGAATTACCATCCTATTTACTTCTCTGAACAGCATTATTTTAGTCAAAAGGGCAATCCAGCTTCTCCCAGGATCACAACCTGCAATCCTTCACATCCCAGATCACCTGCCATCCAGCTGAGGAACAAGCTTCCTCAGGTGACAAGAAAAGGGAGCAGATAAAAAGGAGACAGCTGGACCAGACTGGAACCTGCAGGGGCTGAGAGGCCATACCCTTCATCCCATTCTAGCCATTCCCCATTATCAGGGATTCCTTGGGCATCATTCTCAAAATATGCTAGGGAAGAGAGGTGGAGAGGCAGGAGCTTGGGAAAGAGAAACATTAGCTTCTGGGGCAGGACAATGGTAGTGGCTATCTGGGGCAGGCAGCAGAGATCAAAGGGAGAGTGCTGGAGTTAGGAGTAAGCAAAGTAAATACTGCCCCCTCCTATAAGTGCGACTGAGCCAGGAGCACGGTGTACCGGCCACAATGCGGGTCACCGCCCAAAGTGGGGAGGGAAAGAAGAGTCAGGTCAGCCTACTTGCAGAACATGTTCATCTGATTAACCCAGAATCAATTCTAAGCACAAAAGTTACTGAGATTCTACTATATGCGGGCATTACAGGAGTCGGGGCAGGGAAAACAGATGCATCAATCCTTCCCTCATAACAGGTCTGAATTAATAACAAAGATAGGTAACTCAGAGTCCCTACTTCAAAGAGTTCATATTTGCATGTGGGAGATAGGCAGACATAGGTTGTTTCATTTTTCAAGTGATTTGCTATAACAGAGTTCTAAACAAAGAGTAATAGGAAACCAGAGAAGATTTTGACACAGAGTTCTGCAAAAAGAACCAGAGGTGGTGACATCAAGGTAAGCCTTGCAAAGTTAGACTTTGGATGTGCTGGAAGTAAGTGAAGCACAAGGTGTGAAGACAGCATATGTGGATGTCTCACGGGAAACAAGATGAGAAGGCTAAGTACACATTCACTAGTTTGCAGAGGACTTCATTTTCTGAATTAAGGTTATGCTCATGGGAATTTCCTTTTGTTTCACAAAGTGGCTTTCTCTACAACTGTTTGCCAAAGCTTCCTTGGCTCCAAACTCATATTGATAGAACAATGAGGAATCCAAAGCTGCTTCTAGGTTTCCCTTTTTAGACTCTCTGCTACATTTACCTAAACTCTTAGTACTTCCTCATTACTTACTTCTAGTACTGTGATTTTTCAATAGCCACAAGAGCTAAATTACTCTCCCATCTCCAATTCACTGGGACTTTGGACCCTTGTATACAGCCATAACAGCAACTTTAGACAAACCAAAGTGATAGAAATCCTGCAGAGCATTTTATTTCCCCTTCTTGTCCCTACCACAGCCCATCTTGGTTCCGAGGGTCCAACCTCCCCTCTTTAGAGGTAACTCTCATCTTCATCAGGTCTAAACTCACTCCCAGTGGTCCAGAAAGTCCAAGACTCTCCCAGGATTTGTTGGAGAGCTTCCAGTTAGTACTTTCAACTAAAAGTACATAATCTGCCTCTCCTCCCTGCCTCATTCCTCCTTTCCTCTGAGACTGTTTCAGAAAAGAAACTTTAGAAACCTGGGTAAGAAAGGCTAGATCTGATCTACTGCTCACCATATAAATATGGGCCCACAGTCTGAGGATACAGATTTCATGAAGAAAAAGGGAAAATGAGCTAACTGGAGCTCTCCAGAGTCAGCCTTTGAGCAGGTCTTTGGTTCTGACACCAGTCCCAGAAACTGGCACAGCCCCAAGGGGCTGGCATTGACCATCACAATATCACAAGGGCAGGGCCCCCAACATGTGACTTCCCTACGTAAGAATTCCACTCCTCCCTCTTGCAATGTGCTAAACAATGCTGGTCTGGATACAAACCTCCTTCCCTCAGGAGTCCAGGTCTCCATTTAGGGGATCAGGACAACGTTCACCATTAGCTTATCTTAGGGATAAGAGCACATTGGAAAACTCTTTTAAGGTCTCAAATTGCCAGAGGGTTTGCCAGAATAAAGAGAAAGGAACAAGAAAAGTAATTTAGGAAGAATACTCTAATGAGAAGGACTCTTCAAGAAACGGAACTCCCCCTCTGCCAATCCATTCATATTTAGCAAATATTTACTGATCATCTACTGTGGTGTTCGGGACTATTTAGATGCTGGGAATATCGTAGTAACAAAAGAGATAAAATTCCCTGCCCTCTTGATGTTTACATTCTAGAGGGGAGATCACCAACAAATATAAAGCTAATTAAAATGTGTACTCTGTGAGATGGTACTACAACGATCCAAATGAAATCTCTAAATCAAAGATAATCTGAAATGGCCCTGGGTTCACAACACAGTATTTTACTGCAGTAGTTAAAGGCTGAGAGTCAGAAGGAAAGACGAACCCAACACCCGAGGACGGTATCGGGGTTTAAAAAAGGAAGTCCAAAGTGGCTTCTCACTCAAACAGGAAGAAGCAAGACTATCCAAGAATTAGGAAAAAAACTCTTGGAAAAAAAGCCAAAAACACTTTAAGTTCTGGCTTTAGAGTCTCAAAAATGTGGATTTGTACCTAAGATGGTCTTCTATTTGCTAGCTGTGACACTGTGGGCAAGCCATCATGCTTAATGGTTTATTTTGAGAGAGGGGAGGGAAAGGAGAGAGAGACACTGGGAGTCA